CTTATAATTAGTTCGTGTGTTCCTGAGATTATCATCATCAGGCTGTATAGTTTCAAGGACATAAAACTGCTTCACGCACCGGAATGTGTTCTTCGGCTTGGTTTATTATATATCATCTGTATCAAGAAACAAGAACACACAAGTTTCAACAGAGGTTTTCTTGTTGACTGTTATCACAATGGAAGAAAGTAGCAGATTCAACACTAACCTTGATGAGGATCTTCGTGCACAAAGAAACTAGCAGCGACTATCAAATAACAAAGAATGAGCACTAATCCTTTCAAGTAGTTCGATGTCCCTTCCTACATAACAACAACAAATACGGAGAGACATTTAAACGGCTTCGAGGTTGGTTAGTTTTTGTGTTTAGCTTCAAGATTTGTTAGCCCACCTGGAGAAAGAAAGCTACAACTATAACAGTTATGAATAGGGTAGCTGTCTCAAAATAGCTGGAAATTTAGATCCATTTGTTCACCCATCATCCATCCGATCACTATACGCAGAAAGGAACCTAAAAATCCAATCGAGCAAAAGTCGAAACTATCAGACCAAATCTGTAAGAGAATGATCTTGAGTACTAGACCCCAAGTTGACAGTTCTTATACGTACTGCAAACATGGAAATCTGGATTGAAGATCCAATAGCTACTCCCAAAGATAGATCCTATAGAGGAAAATGAAAAGTTTAGAACCTAAAGAAAAGAACAAGTTAAAAGAGACTTGTCTACGTACCAGTTTGTCTTTCATGGCGAACATAATAGCACCTGCATGCTCGGCTGCATTCCCAACTATAGGAAGCAAGATGACACTGATAAAAGAGATTGGTATCTTCCATGAGACCGGAGCACCCTGTTACATAAAACCATAAGCCAAACGAGTCAAGATATTCATAAAAATGAAATCAAGAAACAACTGGTAGTTAATTTACCTCTATGGCATCAACAAGATAGCCAGAAAGAAGAGAGACCCAAGCCGTCAAGATTGAAAGCCAAACGATAGCTTCCCACTTGGAAATCTCAGGTTCTTCATCATCTTCTCGAGTTTCAAGATTGAAAGCCAAATGACTGGCTCGGCATTTTCTATCAGCACCCATAAAGTTTTACTAAGTTACGATGTTGAACTGCAGAAATTGCTACAATTTCTGCAACAAATTGCCCCTTCCCTTGCCGGGATCCCACCGACAACAGCTTCACTGCTACCTCTCTTCCATCATTGAGTTTTCCCTGTTGAATGTGTTATTCGAAAACAAACAAATTAAAAGGTATCACATATGATATACTCTGTTTTCCTAGTATCTCAAAAGTATATTCAGATATTTCTTTCATTGCGTTATGGAACTTACCTTATAAACAGGCCCAAATCCTCCCTCTCCAAGCTTGTTAGAGGGATCGAAATCTTGAGTTGCACTCCTAAGTTCGGAGTAAGTAAAGGTGTAAGGCTTTACGTCCATATTAAGTATCTCTGCAAGAAATAATTGATACTAAAAATGAACCAATTTGAAAGGTGATATTCAAGTATAATTTCTAATCAGCGTGCCAAAATTATTCAGCTCAAATGCTTGTTTATGTTCTTATAACACTAATACCTTCATCATCTGTGAACCGCTTTCTTCTTTTACGGATGATGAAGATAACCACACCTGCAAAGATGCTCAAAAGTCCTATGCCAACAACGACACCAACAATGGTACCAGTCCTGTTCTTTCCTTTCGAATGATGATTTATTCCCAAAGGTTGGTGTAAAATCTGAATAGAAATACGTAAACTTAGGCACTGGCTAGCATTAAGAAAATGTGAAAATCAGGAGAAAAAAAGGATTCTCCATTTGTGTAACCTGGTGTTGCACTAACAGCCGATATTAATGGCCCATAAGCCCCTTGGACAGGAATACAACATGTTCCTTTTCCAGCCCAGAAAGATGAATCGAGGTAATTTTCTGATACATTTGCTTTATATACTCTCTCAACTGCTCGAATAGTAGAGTCACCAGCTGTTCTGCGTACATCAAAATCCTTTTCAACAAGTCTTCCCTGGAAAAATGGAGCTAAGTCTTAGAATTCATCAGAACCAAATTTGGAAGTAGTTGAGTTAACTTGTAAAGCAGAAAGCTTGGTCAAATAGTGCAAACCTGGACATAAATGTCGAAACGTCGTCTTCCTAAACCTTTCCATGTGTTAGAAATAGAACCAAGAATTTGTATTTCAGCAAACTGAAAGTGTTACGGTATAGCCTCCATTTTCTAGCCCCAACCCATAATACCTTAGGGAAGATGCCGAAAGTCTTGCTGACTGAAAAAGTTCTGAGTCCAAAGTGCTGACAAATTGTGACTGTGAAGTAGTAGCTGACTACTGACTGCCCATCTCTGAACATCACTAACGACAAATGAAGCTGGTCCAAGATCCTCGTCCTCCCTCTCAAATACTGCTCCGCTAACAGACCGTATTTGTGGGCCTCCGCAGTTGATCGAAAAGTCAGAATCTAGASACRAGTCAATAGAGAAAATGTTAAGCAATTTTTTTCCAACAGTACATACAACCACTGTCTATGTGGTTGCTCATAGCACATGGAGAAAAARGGTTATGACGATAGCTATTTGTTACGCTTACATATTCCTTTGCCTCGATTGCAGGGGAAGTTTTTCTGCAGGCAATTCAGTCCTGATAAAACCCATTTAACAAAAAGAAAAGAGATTTGAGAAAGAAATGATAATAAGTTTAAATAGAACTTCAAGGATCAACAAGAACATGTTTTAAAAAATCACCTGTTGTCAAGACCTTCCAAGGTGAAGTTGTTAGCAACTAGATTGCTGCACAAACAACATACAGTTTTGTTATGATTATAATAAATATTTTCTACAAAAAGGAGGCTTCATATTTAAATGTAATGAAGAATTTCCCACCAAGGGTAGCATTAATATAGAAAATATAAAAACAAGAGCGAAGGAACAGATCCATCATATAGAAATAGAATGAAATGTTCTTACAAAGTCGTAAGATTGGTCCAACTTCCTATAAAGTTTGGTATCTGACCTGTAACTTCCAGATCCGTAATGAAACTGGCACAACATTAAGGAAAAAAATCACCCCACGGC